ATGATAGTATACATAGAGAATCCTAAATATGCTACCAGAAAACTACTAGAGCTGATCAATGAATTTGGTAAAGTAGCAGGATACAAAATTAATGCACAGAAATCTCTTGCATTCCTATACACTAATGATGAAAAATCTGAAAGAGAAATAAGGAAACACTCCCATTTACCATTGCAACAAAAAGAATAAAATACCTAGGAATAAACCTACCTAAGGAGACAAAAGATCTGTATGCAGAAAACTATAAGACACAGATGAAAGAAATTAAAGATGACACAGACAGATGGAGAGATACATCATGTTCTTGGATTGGAAGAATCAATATTGTAAAAATGACTATACAACCCAGAGCAATCTACAGATTCAATGCAATCCCTATCAAACTAACAATGGCATTTTTCACAGAACTAGAACAGAAAATTTCACGACTTGTATGGAAACACAAAAGACCCTGAATAGCCAAAACAATCTTGAGAAAGAAAAACGGAGCTGGAGAAATCAGGCTCCCAGACTTCAGACTATACTACAAAGCTACAATAATCAAGACAGTATGGTACTGGCACAAAAGAAGAAATATAGATCAATGGAACAGGATAGAAAGCCCAGGGATAATCCCATGCACATATGGTCACCTTATCTTTGATAAAGGGGGCAAGAGAATACAATGGAGAAAAGACAGCCTCTTCAATAAGTGGTGCTGGGAAAACTGCACAGCTACATGTAAAAGAATGAAATTAGAACACTTCCTAACACCATACACAAAAATAAATTCAAAATGGATTAGAGACCTAAATGTAAGGCCAGACAGTATAAAACTCTTAGAGCAAAACATAGGCAGAACACTCTATGACATAAATCACAGCAAGATCCTTTTTGACCCACCTCCTACAGAAATGAAATAAAAACAAAAATAAACAAATGGGACCTAGTGAAACTTAGAAGCTTTTGCACAGCAAAGGAAAACATAAACAAGACCAAAAGACAACCCTCAGAATGGGAGAAAATATTTGCAAATGAAGCAACTGACAAAAGATTAATCTCCAAAATATACAAGCAGCTCATGCAGCTCAATATCAAAAAAATAAACAACCCAATCCAAGAATGGGCAGAAGACCTAAACAGACATTTCTCCAAAGAAGATATACAGACTGCCAACAAACACATGAAAAGATGCTCAGCATCACTAATCATTAGAGAAATGCAAATCAAAACTACAATGAGGTATCACCTCACACCGGTCAGAATGGCCATCATCAAAAAATCTACAAACAATAAATGTTGATGAGAGTGCAGAGAAAAGGGAACTTCTTGCACTGTTGGTGGGAATGTAAATTGATAAAGCCACTATGGAGAACAGTATGGAGGTTCCTTAAAAACTAAAAATAGAACTACCATACAATACAGCAATCCCACCACTGGGCATATACCTTGAGAAAACCATAATTCAGAAAGAGTCATGTACCACAATGGTCACTGCAGCACTATTTACAACAGTCAGGACATGGAAGCAACCTAAGTGTCCATCGACAGATGAATGGATAAAGATGTGGCACATATATACAATGGAATATTACTCAGCCATAAAAACAAATGAAATTAAGTTATTTGTAGTGAGGTGGATGGACCTAGAGTCTGTCATACAGAATGAAGTAAGTCAGAAAGAGAAAAACAAATACCATATGCTAACAGATATATATGGAATCTTAAAAAAAAAATGGTTCTGATGAACCTAGGGGCAGGAGAGGAATAAAGACACAGACCTAAAAATCGACTTTAGGATGCGGGGACGGAGAAGGGTAAGTTGGGACGAAGTGAGAGAGTAGCACTGACATATATACACTACCAAATATACAATAGATAGCTAGTGGGAAGCAGCTGCCCTGCACAGGGAGATCAGCTTGGTGCTTTGTGACCACCTAGAGGGGTGGGATAGGGAGGGTGGGAGGGAGACACAAGAGGGAGGGGATATGGGGATGTACATATGCATGTAGCTGATTCACTCTGTTATACAGCAGAAACTAACACAACACTGTAAAGCAATTATATTCCAACACAGATATTAAAAAAGAAAAAAGTGAAGAAGGCATTCCACAGGAAAAAGAAAAAAAAGAAACATACCCACAAATGACTTAGGTATTGGAATTAGTATAAAAGACTGTAAAATAACTCATAAGTATGTTAAAGAGCCCAAAGTAATATATAGGTATAATGGGTGAAGAGAAGTGAAATGTAAGAAAAGATTTGGAAATATTAAAAAAAAAAAAAAGCCAAATGGACATCACAGAACAGAAAAGCACAATATCTGAGTAGAAAAGAAAAAAAAAATTCATTTGGTGGAATCAACAACAGATGGGACACAACAAAAGAAAGGATTAGTGAACCTGAAGAAGACAGTGCAAAAGAAATTATCAAATTTGAAGCACACAGATAAAAAAAGATTTTAAAAAATGAACACAGCCTCAACCTGTGAGGTATATCAAGCAATCTAACAAGTATAATTGGTGCCCAAAGAGAAAAGAGAGGAAACAGGATTGCAAAAAGTACTGACAGAAATTTTTCCAAATTTGATTTAGAAAAGAAGTAATAAGAATAATAACCCAGGAGGAAGCACAGCTAACCCCAAGCTGGATCAATATGAAAGAAATTACACCAAGGGACATTATAGTCACAGACAAAGCACAGATAGAAAAAAAAAAAAAAATGAAAGTTGCCAGAGGAACAAATCACGTTACATAAAGGGGAACAACAATAAGATAAGTATGACAACTGACTCATCATCAGAAACAGTGGATGCCAGAGACAATGGAACAGCATCTTTAAAGGGCTGAAAGAAAAACATGTCAGCCTAGAATTCTATGTTCAGTAAAATTGTTTTCAAAAATGAAGATGAAATTTAGATAAATTTCACCTAAAAGCTGAGATGACTTCTCGCCAGCATACCTACATGTAAAGAAATACTAAAATACTAAAAGAAATTCTCAGGCTGAAGAAAAATTGAAGCCAGTCAGAAGAAATATGAAGCCAGAAAATAAGGAAGAGCACTGGGACTGATAAACATGTAGGTAAGTATATTTCTTTCCATAAGTATTTTAAAGCCAACTGTTTAAATAAGAATAAACACTGGGTTTATAATATATGAAGTAAAACACAAAAACAACGGCATAAAGAACAACAGGGAGTGTGAACTCAAATAATGTTTTAGGTTTATATACTATACATGAAGTGGTATAATATTAATTCCACACAGATTGGAAAAAATTAGGATATCCATTTTAATCTCTTGAACAACAACTTTAAAAATAAAAAAGGTATAAAAAAGTAGAGCTCATGGTCACACCAGGGGCATCTCAGAGAAATTCCCTGCTGTGTCAACATGTGGAGAGAGAAGCTACGTTAGAGGTGCCTGAAGGCTGCCCTGTCCAGGGGTGGGCTTGGAGGGAGGGGCAGGAAGAGGTGCGGCTGCCTGTATTGAGAGGCTACAGCTGTATGCAGCAGCCTTGGAGACGTGGCTGTTACAGGTTCCCTGGGTCAATGCCAGCCTCAAGCCCACACTATGTCTCCATTGCAAACCCAACCCCGCGTCAGACAGTTTATACCCGTTGTCCAAGGACACAGAGCCAGTGGATGGTGGGAATGGAACTGGTACCCAGGTCAGCCAGGGAGACTTCTCGTGGCTCTTCACTCATCAAGAGCTCCAAGGAGAACTTACACATCTCAACGTAAAAGAACTATCCACGAAGGAGTGAGGCCAGGTGACAGTCTCCTGATCTGTTCTGCAGGACACGCCCTTGGTGGTTAATGATGGCTGGTTAAATCCCAGCCACTTCAAAGGTTTCCAAGGGAAACAGCAGGCAGAGGGTCCTAAATAAGTGAAAGCTGGGGACCCTATTTTCAAAACTCAAGAAATTCCCCAAAGACTCGTGACCCAGAGTTCTCCACCTTGTGCTGCTCGTAGTAGAGCTGAGGGAGCTAAACCACCTCCACAAAGGCAAAGCAGCAGAGAAGGCCACACCCCAGGAAGGCATCCCAGCATGGCCATCAGCATGTGTGTGAGCACCTCCAAACCGAGAGCCAGTGCCCCAAGGCCAAGTGGACGGTCGAGGACAATTCATTGCCCTGGTCACACCTGCTTAGTGCCAGCTCAGTGATGCGCACCTACCAGGCACTGCAGAGGACTTACTGACTTACTGTCTGCCAGTCTGAGTTGTCAATCTGCCAGGCTCAGGGGGCGGGGGCAGGGGCAGGGGCGGGGGGCATGGAAGACATGTGACTCTTTGCTCTAAAGCCCCATCCTAACAAAAGAAGCTTGACTCACAAATGGAGAAACCAAACAACAGAGCCAGAGACACCCAGGGTCAGGCATGCTCCTTAAAGGGACCTGGAAGGCTGACCTCCCTCAGTAAACAAGACGAGGGGGGACACCTGGATTTGGGGAGCACTCCGTGGAGCAGAGAGGGCGTGAGAGGCCGTAAGTCATGGGTGGACTGAGCAGAACAGAGCAGCGGGGAGAGGTTTTTGGGGTGAGGCAAATGTTACCAGCTCGTCATAAACAGGGGAGACCGGGCATCTCTGGGGGACACTATGACAAATGTCTTCTGGCTAAAGCCGAGGGACAGGGCAGGAGCAGTGGGCCAGGATGCTCGAGCGGGAGTTGGGGCCAAGGAAAGGCCTTCGTCCCAAGTGAAAACCGTAAACCCTGCTGGGAGAGTCAGAGGGAGGGCAGGACGGGCAGCAGGAGGGGACCCACGCGGCCTATTAGGACTGGTCTGCTTGACAGCGGTGAGTCAGCAGCCGTACCCACAGGACCCGCTGAGGCTTTTCAGGCAAACCAGTGAGCAACACCCTCTGCCTCCAGGCCTCTGGCAGCGTGAGGTCAGGCCCAGGGTCCGACTCGGCCACCGAGGCCAATGGAAGTGCCACTGCTGAGACTCGCAGGAGGGACACGTCCAGTACCCCTGCCCCAGGCCCGAGCCCCCGGGCAGCACACTCCTGGGCCTTACCTCCGATTTTTGCATTGTATGCGATGCCCACGATGCAGTAAGAGTTGTTGGCTGAAGCGGCGACCTCTCCCGCACAGCGAGTACCGTGTCTGAGGCAAAGGAAAAAACGAAGTTAGGACTCCGCCAGCACCTTGCAGTGGGTTCAGTGCCCTGCTCAGCTCTCCTGCAAGAAGAGTCATTATCCCTAAGCCCGGGGAGGATGCTGAAGCCTTCTCCCCACATCCCTTCCCATCGCCCCCCGCCCTCCGATGGCTGCTCCAGGAGGGGCATCAAGTGGGCTTTTGCACTGGCCTGGACCGTCCCGTTCCCCACCCCCGCCCCGCACCCCGTAGGCTGGCAAGGCCTTCCCGCCGCCCTGGAGACACGATGCTCCCGCATCAGGCTGAGTCTCCTGCTCCGGCGCCAGGGGCCCAAGCATCCCTCCTCCCAAGCTCTGCGTCCCCGCGACTGACAACACAGCGTAGACGCCTGCCTGGCTGCCAAGCTGATGTAAGAACAAACGAGAACCTAGATCCTGTGTCCTCTTGTGTCCCCCTCCTCCCACCCCATGCTCACCTCGGGCAGCCCCCCCACCCTTTCCACGGCCATTGCAGCAGGAGCCGAGGAAGAAAGCTCGAAATGGAACACTCAGCGGCGGTGGACAGACTGGGAAGAGGCCACCTGAAAAACAGATCGCTCCCCTCGGGTAATGACCCCGTTCTGCAACATGCTGCATCGGGTCAGTTCCTCCAGCAGAAGCCAAAAAATACCGGCAAATTTAAGGAGCACATCTTTGAGAAGAGTCCACAGGGGATCAGAATCACTGAGTCAACTTTAAAACCACCTTTGAAACTAGTCCAGGGCTCATGCATTAGCCCTGGGGAGGCAGCCCTCTGTCCTCTGGACCTCGTGCGCCCACAGCCAGGGCTGCTCCCAAGTCACGCAGCCCACCGTCCCACTCAGCATTCAATCCTGCCCTTCATGGATCACTGTGCAGTGTCTGGATTATCCCTCCTGGCTCCCTGCACTCGGGGCTGGGAGACCAGGCGCCCTGCGCCACTGGCGTGCTGGTGGCTGAGTGGGAAGGGCACCTGGGGACACGAGGCTGGGGCCTTTGCAGGCTCCCTGGAGCGCCGTGGTCCGTCGTGCTGACCGCGTCTGCCGGCCGAGCCTCCCTGCACAGCACCCTGTGGGCACCAGGATGTGAACCCCAGAATCAAATCAACCACAACCTAAAATATTATGGATGAAGACACACCTTGGCAAGCATCGTGTCAACAGTGGAGAAGAAATGGACTTCCCTGGCGGTGCAGTGGTTAAGAATCCACCTTCCAATGCAGGGGACATGGGTTCGATCCCTGATCAGGGAACTAAGATCCCACACGCATGCCACAACTAAGAGTTCACATGCCACAACTGAGGAGCCCGCCAGCCACAACTAAGGAGCACACATGCCGCAACTAAAGGAACTGGTGAGCTGCAGCTAAGACCCGGCACAACTAAAACAAATAAAATACAATTAAAAACAAAACAAAACAAAACCAAAAAAACAGTGGAGAAGAAAGAAATGGCTCCTGTTCTTCTCTAAATATTTTTGGAAGAATGGGAAGAGCTTGGGGCATGGGGCATGGGGCATGCTGACGGAGAAACGACAGGCAGGACACAGCAAACGAGCTCTAGGGCTGGGCTGGGGAAAGTGGACATCACCCCCAGGGCTGCCACCGACGGAGCCGAGTCACCTGATCTCTCCAGACCTCCCATCTTCATTTGCAAAGTGACGATCACAAGCGTCACTGACTGAACACCCTCCATGTGTGTCCCTCACCCATCACCCGGCTCCCACCCACAGCCCTGGGGCATGGGGAGCCTCAGGCCATGAGACATCACCCAGCCTGCACAGAGGCACACAGCCAGCCCAGGATCTGGGCCCCGATTTACCCAGCATCATTCACTCTTCTGCCACCTCCCTCATGAGGTCACAGACAGACTCAAAAAGGCTCGGATATTGACCCATGCACTGTGGTCTGAACACGGCCAGCTGTGGAGACCGCAAGATTTAAGGGTTACTCTTTTCAAATCCAACAGTGTTTCGAACAGGAACAATGCTGGTCCAACATCCATTGCTAGCTGACCAGCAGGGGTGACGCCCCTTAGGAAGGGGCCGAATCCACCAAGGCTGCCTTGTGCCTGAAGGGCTGCGCAGGGCTGGCTCCTGGCTCAGCCCCAGACCCAGCCAGGCAGCCGGAGAGGTGCCTCTGACCTGTCACAGTTCCAGGATCCCGACCGTGGGCCAGCTCAACAGTGACTGCAGGGAGACGGAAAGGGAAGCAAGGAGGGGCCGGCCAAGTAACCAAGTGACATACTTGTTCTCATTGCTGGCATCATATCGCGGAGACGGGTCGTAATCGTTTCCGTTGACGTCATAGCTCGCATAGGAATCCTAAGAAATGAAACCCTCATGACCAAAGAGAAATGGCCTGGCATATCACAGCCCTGCTTTAAATTGTTTTTATGCCTCAACTGGAAACAGAGAAAAATGCACGCTTGGTACTCCCTTACTATAACTTTATATATATATATAATTATATATGTATATATATATATATATATATGTATGTATGTATATATATTATGGTGGGAAATACACATAACAAAATTTACCACCCTAACCATTTTTAAGTGCACAGTTCAATGGTTTTAAGTACATTCACACTGCTGGGCAGCCATCACCACCATCCATCCACAGAACGCTTTTCATCTTGCAAAACTGCAACTCTGTCCCCATGAAACACTAACTCTCCATCCCCCTCCCCAGCCCCTGGCACCCAGCATCTACTTTCTGTCTCTATGAATTCGACTCCTCTAGGGACCTCACGTAAGTGAAAGCATACAGTGTTTGTCATTTTGTGACCCAGATAATGTCTTCATCGATGTGGCTGATCCATGTGGTAGCATGCATCAGATAAAGGTTCATCCACGTGGTAGCAAGTGTCAGAATTTCCTTCATCTTATATTTTTAATATGTCTGTGTTTGTGTATATACTTATAATCATAGTATTCGTGTAATATCCTAACATCCTTTTAAAACACATTATAAAAGCTCTCCAGACTGTTGACTTCAAAACTGTCATCTTTTGCAAACTAGTATATATAGGATGGATAAGCAATAAGGTCCTCCTGTAGAGCACAGGGAACTATATTCAATATCCTGTGATAAACCATAATGGAAAAGAACATGAAAAAATATATATATATATATGCATATTTGCTGTACAGCAGAAATTAAGACAGCACTGTACCCCAGGTGCCTCAGAATACTAAATACCTTTCTCACATTTACTATGTGCTGGGCTCTCTTCTTTACATTTATGAAGCCATTTAATCCTCACAATTACCCAAGGAAGTAGTAGTCCTGTTACTAACCCCACTTTACAGAACGTGACACCGAGGCACAGAGAAGTCAAGTAAATTGCCCGGGGTCTCAGAGTTAATAAGCCGCAGAGCCAGGACAGGAGCCCCAGCAGTTTGGGTCCTAAGCCCACGTCTTAACCCTGCCATTTCTCACGTCGCTGATGTTGATCTGATGGCGACCTCCATGCACACGTCTCTGAGTTTCTTAGGACCCGTTCCCAGAAGTACATGTGAATCCTCTAACATGTGAACGAATCCCTCTGCGAACCCGTGGCTCCGGGTAGCAGGGGAGCTGGGTTCACCAGCCCACCCAGCTCAGTTTTCTGTACTGTCTGATATAGGGAGGGGTAGGCACCTTATCGTTTTATAAATGTGTCCTTGTTTAATGACCCACGCAGTTGAATGTCTCTGCATGCCAGTTGCCAGTTTTAAGGCTTGACTTACATAGTTCGGGGCCAGGTCGGGGTGATTCCGCTCTATGCCATCATCCAGGATGGTGACCACCACGTTTTTTCCCGTGTAGCCCCGCTTCCACGCCGCCTGGACATTCATTTCTGATCGGCAGCGACTGTTCTTGTCGCCACAATGCTGCAGGCACAGAAGACACAAAGCCCCCCGACACAGACACACCTGACACAGACCTGCAAACCCAGCAGAGGTGCTCCTATGCTCATAAGGGAATACGGAGAAAATGCTTTCCCGTGCCTGATAGACCAGAACCCTCTTTCTACCACCCATTTCTGGGAACGGTCCACGTGGAGGGTCTACTGCTTTTTCTGCCCCGGCAATCTGTCCATCACTTTCCCAGGACACCCACCGCCCTTCAGGGGCTCTGTTCACTACTCGCCATGTAGTGACTCATACACCGTGCAGCCAATCGCTCCCCTGCTCAAAGAGCCCCTCCCCTTGGACTTTCACATAATTAAAAAAACTTCAGAAGAAAGCTTGCACCTCACAGCATTAAAACAGGAGTTTTACACTCAGATGAAGTGTGTCTGTTTGGAGCTGTCATGATAGCTTTGTTGGGGGAAATTGACCCATCTCAGAAACACAGCACTGCAAACGCTCCAGAGACAGAGAGGCCCACGCCCTACTCACCATGTACCACATGTTGGACCAAATGGGGTCGTTGAAATAAAGGGCCTGAGGGTCACTTCGCACCTGTCTCTTCACCCTGCGTTTAACTTCTTGTTGTTGGAGCCATTTCACCTACCAGGGGAGAAACGCAGTTACTTTTTGTTTTAAAAACGATCTCCTGGTTTCACGTGGCCTCCTCGTAGGTGCTCCAGCTGTCCTTTTCCATGAACATCTGTGTCTATTAGATGTCTTGGATGGTAAATTCCAAGGAGATGTTTTCACTTCAAGTGATCATATTTGAAAGATAAGAACTAGTCTGGGTCTGTAGGGGAGGGAATAGGACCCCTCTCATAGAGTTTGAAATGATTCTACTAAAAAAAAAAAAAGACCTTGTGAAGTTGCCAACAGATTCTCTGGTGACCCTTGTCCCTAATTAAAAGGAAATACATGCAAGGGTATGAAAACAGTGAAGAGAGGGGAGAAACCGGTCAAATGGTGATCAGGAGTTGGAAGTAAAATGTTTTACAGGGAGGATACGGTTAATTATGATAATCCATATATTGGCATTTTTAGCAGCTTCTGCAAACATGGTACCAAAGCATGTACAGAAAACCTAAAAAGGGTTACAGCAAACTATTAACAGCAGCAATTCCTTGATGGTGACACTATTATTCATTTAAAATTTAAAATTATTTTAAGGGTTTTATAAACTTCTTTCAATCGGCATGATCTGCCTTCACAACCAAGGAAAAAAGCTTGAGAGGCAGGATAAATATTATTTAAGAGCAGGAATCCAGGAGGCTGGCTGCCTGGATTCAAAAGCCAGCCCCACACTCACCAGCTGTGTGACTCAGTCGGTTAGCCTCCCTGGCCTCACCTGTATGACGGGCATCATCGTGGCTTGTCATGAGGGAGCACTGGCATATAAACTGGCATATAAAGCATGCACATCACTGCTTGGCACATGGCTGTATTATCCTCACATGTGTGTATGTGTGTGTGTAAGAGTTTTTCAAGGTGGAAGAATTTTTTCACTTTTATTTATCTATTTATTTTAAAATTTATTTATTTATTTATTGGCTGTGTTGGGTCTTCGTTGCTGCGCTCGGGCTTTCTCTAATTGCGGCGAGTGGGGGCTACTCTTCGTTGTGGTGCACGGGCTTCTCATTGCGGTGGTTTCTCTTGTTGCGGAGCACGGTCTCTAGGCGTGCGGGCTTCAGTAGTTGTGGCACGTGGGCTCAGTAGTTGTGGCTCGCGGGCTCTAGAGCACAGGCTCAGTAGTTGTGGTGCACGGGCTTAGCTGCTCCACGGCATGTGGGGTCTTCCCAGACCAGGGCTCAAACCTGTGTCCCCTGCGTTGGCAGGCAGATTCTTAACCACTGCGCCACCAGGGAAGTCTGAGTTTTTTCACTTTTAAAAGATGTGGGACCTGAATCCCTGTGCCCTGAACTGAAACATTTTCTTGGTCCTGCTGCTATGGGCCCCCTGATTCAGTACACCTCCCGCTGGGGCTCAGCTCTGCACAGGGGGCTGAGATGGGCAGGATGGGGGCACCAGGCCCTGCTCTCAGAAGTTTGTGCTCCAGTCAGGGGCTCCCACCACACAGCACAGGGTGTGATGCAGGCTCCAAGAAGGCAACAGGTGGCCCAGGGCAGAGAAGGTGAAGGGGAGAAGGAGGATGGAGCCTCCGGGAGGGTGATGATGGGGGACCCTGGCTGACCTGGAGGCCAGGCCAAGGCCGGTGACCCCAGGGGAATGAAGGCACAAAGTCCGAGGGTCAAGCTGCTCCCCTCAGACCGCTCAGCCTCGACCTCCCCCATGGTCCTGAGGGAGGAGAAGACAGCCTCATTCACATCTAAGAGTGACGACTGATCTCAAGGCATTTTTGGTCACCAGGACAAAATGCTTAGAAAGAAATATCACAGCCTGTCCCGCCACCAATGTGACTTGTCTACAAAACACCAGTAGATCAGCTTCCTGAGAAATGCCCCAAAGAGCTCAAAAACAACTTTGGATTAGGCACTAAAACAAGCCCAGGCCCAAGTCCTGGATCATTTATAGTTGCCACTGACAGATACTTCCATGGAAAATAAAACTGTACAGTGAGATATTTTGCTCATAACACCCTCTGATGGCATTTTGCAACTTCCTCATATATTACTGCCTGAACCAGAAAGCTTTTACCCAGTATCAAAAACCTAAGACTGTATTTCCTAACCTGCTAGGCAACCTGTTGTAAAGTACAGTGGTAGGCAAGGCACTGACAGCTCCAAGCTCCCAGGATGCTCCCATCCACCTTGCCTGGCTGACTCACTACCCATTTTACCGGCACCAGTGCCTTCCAACTGTGGTGCCCACCAGGCTTTACTTCCTGTCCCAGAGGAGGTGAACCCTCCTCTTCCAAGCCTGAGTAGGTGACTCCCCCGAATCAGGCAGGTGACATGGGGAAGCATGTTGCCAGAAGTCACAAAACAATCCCCTAGTGGGATAAAAGAGTGAGGGCACCTGGTCTCCAGTCGCTCCTGGGCTCTGGGTAGGAACCCAACTTAACACACAGTTCTGAGGGTCGGCTGTGATGGCCCAGGGCCCACGGCAGAGCTGGAGGCTCTCCTTGTGGCGTGGTCCCGGGGCAGCCCTCTCCCCGAGACAGGTCATTGTAAGACTCTGAGAGACAGCCAGGCACTGTAGGCCAATGGAACTGGATATAACAAATTACTCGCCAGGTCTGTGGACATGGATTCACAGGTGACCTCCCAGTCACAGAGGCTGACTCAGCCAGCGGTCACTTGGTCAGAGTCTGCTCCCCGTCTCCTCTCTCCAGGCTCCAGCCACTGCCTTGCTTCTCACCCAACTCCAGGAAAGGGCGGGGGCTCCTGGATCCCATCATCCTGGCCTTTTCCAGATTTTCCCTGATGTCTCTGGAGAGCACGGCCCCCGTGGTCCCTTATTCGCTCACCAAAGCTGCACTGAGTCTGTGTGTCCGGCGCTAGGTTCTAGGAATATGACTATGAGTGTAAATACCACTGGTTCCCATCCAGGAGGCCCCTGTCCCACCCTCCAGCTCAGACCCAGAGCTCTGCTTCAGGGGCCCCTCAGGTTGGAACTCAGAGCCAGCTGGCCTCTCCGGGAAGGTCAGGGGTGCCGATGACCCAAATCCAAGTGCCTGAAACTTAAGCTTTCCCAAAGGGCACCCTCATCATGAACAGTGATGCTCTTTACGACAAAGGAACACACAGTTCAGGATCCCTAAGGACGTGTCACTCGTGGAATTCATTCTTCTGCAGAGCTCACAAACAGACGGTGAGCTGGAACTGACCAATCACAAGTACTGAAATTGAAACTGTGATTTAAAAACTTCCAACTAACAAAAGCCGAGGACCAGATGGCTTCACAGGCGAATTCTATCATTTAGAGAAGAGTTAACACCTATCCTTCCGAAGCTATTCCAAAAAACTGCAGAGGAAGGAATACAAGCGGTGAGCTGGTGGTGATGGGGAGAGTCAGGCTGGGAGGGGGCCAGACTGTGATGTTCTTCCTGTGATTACCTCTATGAGGAGAAGCAACCTGAGATGCTCAGGAGAACTGGCAGTACGCTTCCTCCCCTGAGAGGGCTCGTGCAAGAGGAAAGTCGTCATATTTCGCTGGCAGCCTGCCCGGCTGTCACTTTACACTGTAGCTTCGTTCATGCTCTGCTCATCAGATCCCTCAGAACTCCTTGAGGAGGTGTTCAGACCTTCTCTTGGTGAAAAAGGCAGGGGGCAGACGGCTGTACACGCTGTCTGTCTTTCAAGGCCATAGGAATATACTTGGAAGGTAAGTCCTAAACCCGGGTTAAGCCTGCAAATGAGTGGGCCTGGGGCACGTTAAAATACACATTGCGACTAAGCGTGCGTGGTAAGAGCTGAGCTTCTTAGGAAGTCTTCTTAGGAAGAGAACCAATCACTCTGCAAAGCCTTCAGATCACTGGAGTGAAGGAAGGGAAAATATCGCTGAGAAGAAAGGCCCTGCTCATTCCACATCACTCTCTTTAGGTTTTGTAGAGAGTTGACTGGTGGCCTCCCAAAAGGTACATTCACCCAGAACCAGTGAATGTGGCCTCCCTTTGGAAAAGGGTCTTTGAACACGTAATTAAGTTAAAGCTCTGGCAATGTGGTCATGCTGTGCCCTAAATCCAATGACAAGTGTCCTTACAAAGGACAGGCAAAGGGAGGTTGAGACACAGGAGGAGGAGGCCTTGTGAAGACAGATTCCACAAGCTGAGGAGCATCTGGAGCCAGGAGCTGGAAGAGGCAAGGAAGGACGCTCCCTGAGAGCCCTCAGAGGGACCACTGCCCTGCCGACACCTTAGCTTCAGACTTGGGGACTCCAGACTGTGAGATAATGCATCTCTGTTGTTTTAAGCCACCCAGTTGTTTGTCATTTGTTACAGCCGCCCTGGGAGACTGATACAGGTTTAAATCACAGCCTTGATCAGGGTTAAGATTTTAAATGTTTGAGAATCCATGAGGCTGTCCTGCTAAACGGAGGATCCAGAGGCCCCCAGATGATGGGCTGAGGCTGCAGGAAAAGCACTGGAGCAGGGGTGGGACTCAAGGCAGCAGCTCTTACCCAAAATTTTATTTCTTTTAATTTCGTGCAGGATCTTTGCTGTGACATGTGGGATCTTTTTAGTTGCGGCATGCGAACTCTTAGTTGCGGCATGTGGGATCTAGTTCCCTGGCCAGGGATCGAACCTGGGCCCCCTGCATTGGGAATGTGTAGTCTTAGCCACTGGACCACCAGGGAAGTCCCCCAGTATCTGAAAAACCAGAACAGAATGGCTGTCCCAGTGTACCCAGCTCTGGCTGGCAGCCTCACCCACACAAGCCTGCAGCCCCCACCCTAACGGCTCTCCCCTGCAACATCTCAGGGCCCTGGACACCTCTCCCCGCCGTTCTCTGAAACTAAAGCTGCCCCAAAGTGGGTCCTGCCCCCTATACCCAGGTCCCTCTCACCCTCCTGATTCTCCTAACTCATCAGCACTAAAGCCCACCTGTCCCCCAAGTCAGAACAAAGCTGGGATCCTCTCCAACACGAGTGTCACACATTCCATCTCCTCAAGGGGTCAGGATCCCATCCCCAAGATTCACCAT